TACGGCATGCCGCAATTTGTTGATGCCTGTCCAGTTCGCCGGTTAACTTCAGCATCAGTATGATCATTGCTAGTCAGCTTTTCTACAGTTCCAGTGCATTTGAAATGGTCCACCTCTTCAGTCGCAATAACACCCCATGGTATCCTCAGGCAAATGATCGCAGTTGTCTTTGTGATGTTTTTCTTTTTGGCGTTCACTTGTGGTGTCACTCTTATAGCAGCATTGCAGCGCTTTCAGTGAGTGTCATTAAGCCACTTGTGGGGTCGCTTAGCAACACACATTGTCATCTGCGTACTCAAGGTGCATTAGGTGCATTGCCGCGGGGCATCTCGACTTGATGAGCCACACTGGTGACATTGAACCAGTCTGACAATGCGACAATGCTCCTCCAATTTCGTTTCTCCTTACAGACCCTCAGCCAGTTCTACTTTTGCCTCTGGATTCCCTTGGTGATGAAAATAACATTCCGCATCGTTTGGTGATAAACTGAATCGAAGGCTGTCCAAAAGTCCACAAACATCGGGTACCATGGAAGTTCGAAGTTCTGGGCCGGCTTGATGATCCCGTTCAGCACAGAGATGTCCATACGTCGGATTGTTGGTTGGCAATGGTAACGTTATTACCGATGTGACTGGGCGTATCGGACTGGCATCGGCGAATTGCAGCAGGTTGTGTGAAATATGGAAGAATCAGACTATCAGGACGGACACAGTCATAAAGCTCTTTTAAACATCTCCCAACAGCGCTGTCTGCGGTGTGTTTTCAAAATATAGTGGTTCTGCAGGGTCACTGTAGAATGAGCTGATGTACATGACCGCTAGTCTGAGGACACTGTCAAATGAACTGAGAGACTGGCACTTGGCTTCCTTTGATAAAACAGCCAAAAAAGGAATGGAAATATGTTCAAAACTTTTCTCTTTTGGGAACCGCTAGTAGGAAGACACACAAAGCGTGGAAAGACTGTTTTTGCAGACGGATTTGCAGTGTAAAATATGACCTTTGTCACAACAGTGAACTTTGCTTAATATCAATTTGAAGTACCATTTCTAGTAGTCAGGCATAATAAATCTGTGTTACTCTGCTGTTGAAGCTCTGTTAACCTCAGTTTAATGATAACAAAGCAGCGACAACCTGTGTTAAGATCATACCATGATATACAAAGCTAAAGGAAAGTTGCTCAGAAGACAATGTAATAGTGACAGGAGCGAAAAGAGCGCAAGGATGTCGGCGTCTTGTTCAGAATTCCGATATAAAATTGTTTCTGTGGTTAACATAAATTTATTAGAGTTGAAAATTAATTTTCTGTGAATTTTGTAATTTAGACCATATTCATATAAAATTGGCGAACTTATGGATTGGGTGTATGACACCTGTAACAGAGGGAAGATTAAGCATTACTCCCGCCGTTACATTGGATTCTATCTTACGTAATTTATTTAAAGCAG